TGCCTGTTGCGAAGAAAACTCCTATACTGCCGCTCTATCGTCCGGAATTATTCGTGTTTGATTACGGCAATTCCGCCACTCTATCAGCTGATTTTTGTTTCCGAGTCACGTGACCAACCGGTGTCTCCCTGGAGAACTGTTTCAAGTTTCAAGTCTCCGATGCGTCTCGAATCTGAGCTGAGACCGGACTGAATCCGGGCTGAATTATATGGGCTGCCCTGATGGACGTTCTACAGTCCTGGGACAGTCCACCGAGCCGTCCTAGCTTCTACAGAGCCTTGATCCTAGCTATCAACTGGGGGGATGAGGGGGCTAACTCCTCATCATGGGGTGGATACGATGATGCGCCATGCTATCTATGGTCGTATGTATCACAAAAAAACGCGATAGGAATATCAATATGAACACGACGGAAGCAAGGAACACTACGCCAACGGTCTATACGGAGCACAGGCGGTGGCCTTGCCCAGTTCAAGCGCCGGAGAACCGCAGGGCACAGACGTAGGCAGGCGAGCTTCAGTGCACTGTGCAAGACGCCATACGGGGCTTCAGTGCAAGTGGGCAAAATCCCGTGGGGCAGTTTTGAGGAGGTGTTGGGTTGGATCATTAACCATCAAATGACTGGGGAAATGGGAAGTGGGGGGGGGGGGTAACGAGGAGTTATCATGCAAACTTACCGTGTCAGTTTCGTCGCCTCAGCACGTTACGGCATCGTGGTACGTTAGAGTGTATCGATTTGAGGGTTTTTATTCCAGATTGAGAGGAAACTGTCAGATAAAGTGGCGCTATATATTTTTAAGTAAGAAAAACACAAAATCGGTGTCCTGCGGTCAGTATTCTCTGGTCCGCGCCCACTTCTTTGAGACCATCTCGCCGTAACACGGGCTCCTATGGGATAACCTACTAGCGACATCTAGAATTGTAGGTGGCGCTAGCGTCGGCATGGCGTTTAAACACAGTTTGTGGTGTCTGATGCTGATCTTACTCACTCAATAGCGTTTGTTTTCCTTATTTGCCCATAATAATTTGTTTCAGACGTCTAGTTTAACAACTTCAAATGACAGTTAGAGGTTCCTTTGACATACTTCATAGTATAAAATAACAAAACACACAGGGAGTGTGGAGTTTTAGCTACACATGTGCCTATTTTGCCCTAGTTTTGCTCTCGGCTCTCGGCCTAGGCCCTGTTCTGTCTGGGGCAGATCGAAACCTATCTTATACCTTGGTGTGTATAGGAGAGCGTTACATGCGTTGGAAGGCTTGAATGGACTTTGAATGCCCATATCTGTATCATTATCATTAACAGTATCAAACCGCATCTATGCACTTTTCTCCTACGCTATGTTTTCGTGCTGTTCTCATGTCTCCTGTTCTATGATCACTGTATGTTTGTCTGGGTCACAAATGGCCATTGCTTTTGAGCAAAGTAATAGAAATACCCTAAAAACTAAAGTGCATTGCGTACACCAGTGCCTATCGCGCACCAGCCCAGTTCACCGTCAGTTAGCAAAGAGCTCTTCATTTAGTGCCTGTGACGCTTGAAACGGCTGAGCGGCAACAGAGGCAAAGTGTGTACGGCACATGAGTCAAATAATAGGATTCTGGATTATGTATGAACTATGAAAGCAATGGTGAAAGGTATTTTATTAACTCGGTTGGCGCGGCGGAGAAGGACCGACGTAAAAGTCGGTCTCGTCATTGGCCTCGGCAAGTGCGCCGAGCAGGGCCCGAACTTGAGCTAGCTACAGCAGGGGTCATATCACGGACTGGTTGACAGTCAATCTGTGCCGGTGACCGGGCTCTTACATGTGATCCTGTATTAAAACACCGCAGACTCACGAGTCCTGGTTGACTGTAGCCGTCTCTCGCATGCGGCAGTTCAGTTTGGTAGTATGCCTATTCCACCTACATAGACGCACCTGTTCGGGTACAGATAGTGCGCTGTTCCGGTACAGACGGCACCCGTTCCGTGCTTCCATCCTCAGGATACTGAAATCCTTCTCCTCCACGCCGAAACCCCCTCCGGGCTGGACAGGCAACTTATCTCATGCGGGCTGCTCCCTTGGAGCGGCACCGCGGCTCCCGAGGGAGCGCACCCCGTAGCCGGGTGCAGTGAGTACTTTGGGGATGGGTGGCCTGTCCTCTGGACGGGCTCAGCCCCGGCGACTCACTAGGGTGCCTGCCCAGACCAATGTCACCCCCTAATTCCTATCATCCTTCCGGCTCTGAAATGGTCTTGTCGGACCGAAAGAGCCTAACCCAACAAAACAAACAAACAAACAAACAAATACAGACGGCATCGCCGGGTCTCGAGGGGACCGGTGACGGCACTGTCGCCGCCGTTGGTCGCGGTGACACGGGCGGCGGGAAAGTCACCAGACCTGCACCATAGTACGGTGAATGGTTGGGCCTTCGCCGGCAGTAACTATTTATTTGGGATGCGAGCTGTATGTAATACTACCAGCGCACGATATTCACCGTGTTCGCCGCGCGGTAAGAGAGGAGCCCACGGCAGTCCGGTAGGATAGGCTGAGTTGTGACAAGTTCTACCCCGAAAGTGACCACCTTTGGGGCACTGAGGGACCGCTTGACGTGGCCACTCGTCGGTTTCGGTTTCACCTACTGGCTACTAATTTTAACAGCAGACGTTCGGAGACTGCTAAGTGGGTTTGTTCGTTATGCTTGGTTACGGTTAGAGCCTATGGGTTAGTCTATTCGAGAACATTAGGGCCGTGGTATGATGAATAAATGAATTAGCGGGGAGAGGGCAATATCAGAATAAAGTCGACCATCGGGCACCGGCTGTGTGCCGCAGCGTCTCAGTCAAAAGACACCATAATGGCTGCAATGCTCTGAGTCAGGCTATGCTGGGATGATAAAACACGAGAGGGAGAGGGCAATGTAAGGTTCAATCAACCAAGGCTCAATCGGTTCAATCAACCACTGACGACTAGTCCGCTGTACTGCTGGGACGGCATTTCAGCGCCGGGACATACTGTTTTGACGGCAAGTCACAACGGGACAGACTAGAGCATACATTTGTTGAAATGGTCACTCCGAAGCTGACTTTCATCGGTTGTCTGCTAGGCGGACCGTTAAAGGGACCCTCCCACCTTCAAAAAAGTTAATGAATTGGCATGAAAGTGATGTCGCTCGGTTCAGAAAGAGCGAAAACGAATATCTACCAAATTTCACCGAAAAATATTCACCGGTTTTCAAGATATTAGACTTTATACCACCGCGTGCTACAAAACGTTTTAGTCAAACATTTAACGGACGTTCGAGAGCCTGATGACGTCATCAGATTCCCGTAATGGTTAAGAGATAGGGACCACGCTGGTCCCACCCTGCAAGTAAAGGGAAGAAATTTCTTGAACACCATAAAGCTGCGGGGGTTGCGACCAGGATAAATGGTGGTTTCTGAGCCTGGCCGCAAACTTGGCTATCTCAACTCAAAACTAATGTTAAGGTGGGAGGGTCCCTTTTAATCCGGAACACGGAGAAGTGCAAGCAAGGATGATGGTGAATTAGTCGTAAGATAGGACAGAAAGCAAACTGGCTCACCAGTCACCAGTTACCGAGCACCTGACCAGTGTCCACTTTGACATTTGGTCGCTGGTAACACAATTGTACCGGCTATATGTAGTCCTTAAAGTACGATGCGGCAGGAGCTCTATTTACTTGTTCGTGTTTAAGAGCTCAGGGCGCTAATGCATAGGTAATGTGTATTGTGTTATGTGTGATAATGTGTGGAAAGCTATGCGTTTGCAATGGAAAAACACTTGCAATGGAAAAAACAGCAATATACCCACACCAATGATGTAAAAAAAATGTGCATAATTTAATCCGAATGGCTTTTTTTACGTTTACAGATGTCTGAAATTAAGTTAGAGACAGTCTGGAATCACTGCCATCTAGCGTCAAAAGGGGAGAACTGAAGCTTCATCCTACGTCCGCAGCAGTTGGAATGGGGTTTACAAAAACCGTTCCAGGTCAGTCAATTTTGAGTTTTGAGGAAAGTGTTGCGCCCAGATATTATTTTTATGTCCTTGCGCCAAATAATATGCCAGTTTCCTTGCAAATTTCGGTTATCGATACACTCTAGTGGTACGTTGCCTGTTATGAACGGGTAGGCCCAAGGTAGGCCTTGGGTAAATCCAACAAGGCTATGTAAACCGAAGGCATCTGCGACCAATGCGACTGTATCATGGCTATATCAATATTAATCTTGGTATAACCGAACTGTATCGAAGCTCGGGCATCCGATCGAGTCGAGAGGCGGCAGATCCTGGCAGAATTCCTCCATAGTCCATTGCAATTTGCAAAGCAAAGTCGTGGACCCAGAGTCCAGTTGTATCCAAAACCCTGTCCAAATCCAACGAATAACGATGGATATATTCCTTGGATTGCGTCGGATATCAAGGCCATCTGACGCATCTAGCCTAGCGGAAATATATAACCCGCTATACATGGCCTAAAAGTCCTAAAACGGTTGTGCAAGGGCTATATTTGGCCCAATTTGGGCCTTAGTGTAAACGCTCGTAATGTTCATTTACCTTCGCGGTGTTTTATACGGTTTGTAGATTTGTACCACTTGTCGCTTTCCAAATAAAGAAACGTCATTGGGCTGTATGACCCGTAATCTTGGTTCGACCTACTCGCTAGTCCTAGGCGCTAGTCCAAGTCGATGTTTTTAAAATTTAGAACCACCATAGTACTAATAACTACTAAGTAATTATACTGATTATCGTTATCTTTGTGGTGAGCTCTAAAAAATTTGTGTTTAAACAACTAATCCTTGGCGTGCGTTGGTTTTATATCATATGTCCTCACTAGTCTTTTTTGATCCCAAGCCAACTCTGATAGATAAACAAACTTGACCGGTTATGCGGCAAATGCGGTGTGCTGGTTGTTATTGTGCTAACTTATACGGCCTTGGTTGTGCTGCCGTTGTTTTGCGTTGTTGGATGGTTGGTCATTTGTTAATTTTGGGGTAATTTGTTCAGTTGGGTTGTTTTACCGCTGTTTTACCCGTTTTACCATGCAGTCCCTGGTGTTTATCTGCAGCCGTTTCAGAGATGTCATTTGTATCCGTCTTTATCATTATAGGTATCATTGTGGGTTCAGGGACTTGCACAGACAACAAGAACGGGTGAAGGGCGCGTTTATCGTTGGACATATTTATATTATAAATTGGGAAATATACCACTTAGTTTAGGAACGTTATAACTTTCTTTAAAAGGACCCTCCCACCTTAACATTAGATTTGAGTTGAGATAGCCAAAATGAGGTCCCTGGCTCACAATTACCGGTTTCGGCACTCACAACATCGAGAAATGCCTTAAATCGGAAATATTGAATTTCAAAATTGCAGCATTTTGATTCAGAGGGGCTAATGCATAGGAATACCCCTCTGAATGTGTGACGTCAGCGCAGATATCTAACGATTTTTAAATGTTTGACTAAAACGTTTTGTAGCACGCGGTGGTATATGCTGCTTTGCGCGCAACAAGTGCCACACTTTCAGCTGCCAAACTATTGCTTCCAAATGAAGTCGCTAGGAACAGCGGAGATCCCAAAAAGTACACAAAAGTAAAGGTCTAATATCTTGAAAACCGGTGAATATTCTTCGGTGAAATTTGGTAGATATTCGTTTTCGCTCTTTCTGAACCGAGCGACATCACTTTCATGCCAATTCATAAAAATTTTTGAAGGTGGGAGGGTCCCTTTAATATTTACCTTGGTAACTATTCTTCAATTTGTCTGTTGCTTGTTTTGTGCCTTGTTATATGTTCACTTTGACTTGAAATAATCAGTCTTAATGAGCTGGATGAAATGTGTCATGTCATGTTGTCTGAGTCTTCCTAAGATCATTGAACTTCAAAGTAACCATCTCAAGTAGCACTCAAGTAGTATTACCAAGTGCAATGCATGCCGTTCCACTGGCCTCACTAAATGACTTGCTGTAATTTCATGTCAGTCAGGCTAAAGGCTCCTGTGGCATTTGTACCTTGCTGTGCTAGGAAAGCTTTTTTACCATGACTTTTTTCTTTTCCAGAAATCTATCTTCACAAGGCCTTCTAGAAATATCAAGATGAAAACGCTTGACACAATCACCTACTCATTTTCCATGATGGACAATGGGGCGATTCTCCTTTTGTTGGTATACTTTGTATCCTTTCAGAAGCTGTGCGCTTGCACATGGAAATTGTCATTGTGGTGCATTGCCCATTATCAATTTGTTACCTTTGCAGTCGCAGTGATAACTTATGCTTGGTTTATGAGGAGTTTATCAATATTGATATGGTTTTTGTGCTAAAAATATATGTACAAAGATGACTCATTTTTATATTGAAAATTCACTAGACATTCTGAGTAGACATTTTATTAGGTACCTATAATAATCAGACATGCATTGTTTATAAGTTGTTTAAGTCAAAGAAATTTCAATAAGATGTGCAGTTGTGTGAGGTTGAATGTTTGAAGTCATCATTGTGTGCCTTGACTTTATAGCCTTAAGTTACTACTACCATTTATTTTCTTAACCTACTGTCCTTCAGCTGATAACATTGTCTGATCTGGAGTGTGATTACCTGAATGCTAGAGAGTGCTGCAGTAAACTGAACTGGGTGAGTGTTTGGTAATTTGGTACCATTTACCCAGTAGTCACCTGATGTGCATAATTTATTTAGTTCTGAAAGGTGATCTGTTTGTGGGAAAGCTTATATTCTTTGTAATATGCTACACTGATTCTATTTATAAACAATTCACATTTGTATTACATGTGCCAAATATGTCTATGCAGAGCCTCCTCTGAAAATTTCGTTTGGGATGAGGGATTGCGAGGCAAATAGTGGTGGTGAGATGTGGAATCAAGACGAACTTGGAGGAGCTTGGAGGAGCAACGGGAACGATTTTTTGAAACGAGAGGAGGTTAGAGGAGCTTGGAGGAGGTTAGAGGAGCGACGGGAACAGACCCATTGTCCACCATTTAAGCTATTCTGCTGTTGTACTGTGTGACTAGAGATTTACATCTCAATATCAAGATCCTAGCTAGAGTATGCAAGCATTCACTTGACTGTGTGTTGACCAAAATGAACAACTATGAATCCCAGGCCTGGCATATCGACCAGGATAATAATCCCGATGTGTGACAGTATCCACTGCCCCGTTTTACACGGTGACGCTGCCGGCCCTTCCAGTGGACGCCGTGGCTGCTCGGCGGCCAGGCGCTGCTCTCGGTGGTGCTGCTGTTCTCAGGCCACTGGCTGCTGTGGCTCCTCAATGTGCCCGTCCTAGTCTGGCTCGTGTACAGGTTAGTTCCTATATATGGCCTTGGGTTAGTTAAGACTTGGGTGTGTTAGTTGGGACAGCTAGGTTAGTTAGGTGTGTTTGTCAGGTTAGCTAGGCTAGTTAGGTGCGTAGGCTGTTGAAAGTAGGCCTGACATGCATCGTGGCTCACCTGTGGCAGTTTTGAGGTACACTAAGAGGTCACTTTCGTGATGTGTGTCAGTTTGGATTCATTCTGTTAGGTGTCACAGGCAGTACTAGCATCGAGTGATCAGATTGGACCCTTTGTCGTGCCGTGTGCCGCAGACAATGGTCGGTGAGGCCGGGCAACATCGGCATCTACGATCCCGCCGACATTCTGAACGGCGGCCAGCTGCAGCGGCACACGCGAAACACCATGGTCTTCATCACGTTCTACCTCATCTTCTTCTTCGTCTACCTATACCTGTGAGTGCCGCGCTACCCGCCACACTGGATGTGTGCGGAGCGCCGCCGCCAGTGCGCTGGTACTCCCGTAAGGTTTGCGGAATCCATCGGATCAGTGTGGGACCGAATAACTTGCCCAATTTCTGCATTTATGATGATTTGAGCACGTTTTTAAAAAGTTGTTATATTCATAATTATGCTCAAACTAGCCATAGCCCACCTCCAACGAAAAAAAAAGTTGTTATAGTCTGGTAAGGCCTACTAAATCACCATTGTCTGCTGCTGTGACCCAGCCCAGGTTCATGCTTCATGATACATTGTAGAACTCAGCTTGGTACTGCAAGAATATATTTAAATATTAAGCAGTAGTTGGTCTTGGAAAGAATAGCATGGTGCATTATCAGCCTAGGGAAGGAATGCTCCAAAGCTCTGAAATATCATCAACTCATCAGACATTTTCTGCTTTTCTGATCCATGTTTCACGGGCTTCGCCTCTCACCTTCTCCAGGGAGCATCATACAATACAGTTTACCCTGCCCTGACGATTTGTATTTGTCCAGAGATGTGTTGACTAACCTGCCCTGTCCCCTTTTCACGGCCAGGTTCATCTTAGCGCTGCTGCAGACAGATGAGAAGCCTCCGCCACCGATATACGAGCCACGCCACCTGTAGGACCGTCTGGGAACTCTGAAAGTCGCCGCTGCCGCTGGAGGGCGCCAGCAGCTGCGGACCATCCTAGTCATGGATCGCCGAACGGTATGGGTCGTCACGGATGTGGCTGGTTGTCATGGTCACTGGGACCATGTTGCCATGGCGACTGTGGAGTTGTTTGGTCTGTTTTGTGATGAGGCTGCTCCGTCCGACACGAAGCAGCAGAGGCGGGTGGGATGGGCGGGAGGCGTGGCTCACGTGTGAGTGTTTTTGCGCAATAGACACTGGGCAGGGATCTGGCGACCATCGGGGCCGGATGGGATAAGGCGTTAGGTACGGAAGGGAATGCGATTGAATCATGATAACACGCTACCAAAGTGCCGCTGTGACCAAACTGAAGTCAGGGTCCCTTTCAATAATGATAATAAATGACCGTTGATGTGTTCTGATCAGCAGCGATCAGTTTGCGGCCAATTTAAGAATATCTGCTTTATATTTGCGATCAAAGCTTCGGCAGCTAACTTATAAGAAAGAACTGGCATGCCTTTAACTTGGCCATGTTATTCCTGCGTTCATTCAGACAAAAGTGATCGCTCAAGCAGGCTAACAGTCAGCTTAGCAGGTATCTGTTTTGTCTAATTAATTTGTGTGCCAATATTTTGTTTTTACCATATCCGTTTCTGTTACGGTGCCTGCTGTCGATGACCCTTTTTGAGCCTTCCAAGGATGTCTGAACAAAAACGGTCGTCAGGGCGTGCAAAAACTGCTTATGCCGTGCACACCCTGTGCCATTCAAACTCGGAATGTTCTGGGTGATGAAAGCTGCTGACAGTTTTAGGAGCGGTCCGTTCCGAGAATATCCTCTGTCCGTTAGACATAGGTCATGTGATGTTCAATTGTGGTATGATTTGATACGAATTGAGCTTAGCGGCATCGCAATGCGTCATCGTTTGCTGTTGTGTTTCACGCAAAAAGGTTTGATGTCTCTTATGTAAATGTGAAGTGGGAATGCGGCCCGTGAATGTGGTTTGAACGTGATCTCCCCGCTTTCATTTAACTCAGTTTCCAGAAAAGAAAAGTGTCATTGACGAAAGAGCCCACCTTCCTATTTCGTTAAGGACGTTCGATATGGAACACTCGTGTCTTTGTGCAGTGTGCACTGTTCTGCGAGTGTATCTGCCAGCTCAACCGCTGCCCGAGTGTCTGACAGAAGGACCGCCCTCTGAATACACCATCTCTCCATTTTTAGCCCTGCGTATGCGAATGTGCGCTGTATATGCGTATATATGTATGAGCGGCATGCGTATATATGTATGGGCAGCGCGCTGTCCGGTTATGCGGCTCACTGAATGTAACGCCTGGTGCCGCGGTGCTGTATGAAAAATTACAGTACCTACCGCCGCACTGTCTGAATAGCGAGTCGGTAGGTACCCGGATGTGATCTGGCACCGTTTAGCGACCTAAAGCCTTCTATTGGACTACTTCCATTAGTATGGTGGTAATGTTACGACAAACAGAAGTCATTAATGTGTGGAATGGTACGGTACGATGACCCTGAGTCCTATGTTGCACTTCACTGGTACAACGGTACTGAGACAGTACCATGCGTACTAATACCGTACAATGACCCTGAGCCCAGTGTTTTGGTACTCCATTGTTTCGATCGTAATGTTACTGACGTCGCTATGGTCTAGTCTAGTACCTTCAGTGGCCCTGAGCCCACTGTTTTGATACTTCGCACTATCGGTGATCGAGTTCACCCGAGGCTGACCACTGGGTGTGACTCGGTCAAATCACGAGATCGCCGTGTCACGGAAGCGGGCTGCGGTTACCTGATAACGGTAATTGGACGAGATATTATCACCGGCGGACCCCCGACCTTCACAGGGTGATGGACCTAAACACCACTGACCGAGTGACTGTAGTTGATCCCCGGATAACGGTAACCCAGTCTTTGTCAGTCTGTATGACAGTCTGTCTGTCTGTCTGTCTGTCTGTCTGTCTGTCTGTCTGTCTGTCTGTCTGTCTGTCTGTCTGCCTGTCGTCGGGTGACTGTAGCCTGCCGTCACCCTACTGTCGGCAGCCGTGTGCTGAGCACACTTTGTCACTAAGTGACGCTATAACGGATAACCCAGTATTTGAGCGGGTGACTAACAGGCGGTTACCGGCGGACGTTATCACAGAGACTGGGACTGGGTCACGGTAGCACAAAGTCACTTGGTGACGGCACCCGTTGGTTACCGGGTGACGGTAACAGGGGATGACGTAGCCGCGCGGCGGTCAGTGGCCGGCCTTGACGGTCGGCTGCTATTTCAAGCTCGCCCAGCTGGCCCAGTGCCAAAAATGTGGCCCACTCCGGCCTCTCCTTTCCCGGGGGCCGGGGGGGGGGGGCGACAGACAGCCGCCGCCGCAGTGGGACAAGCAGGCGTCATCGGAGTGTGATGAACGCCAGCGAGTGACGTCGCCAAGAACACATGTCGTACGTCAGACGTCGCGGAGCCAGCAGGCCACTGACAAACGGTCCGGCGCAGACAGAGCTCCTTCCATCGCGGGTCGCCCCGGCCCACCGATCGCCGCAGGCTGGGAAACCGACAGTGGTGACTGACGAGCGCCCACAGCCGCCGTTACGTAACAACACACATTATGTCCATGGGGTGATGTGGCGGCTCGTAGCGACCGCGGACAACAGCGGAGGAGCGAGTGCCAGCACCTCATTGATTCCATGTTCGGCTATTCGGGGCGTCACTGCCAGTTTCCGCTTGGCCCGTGTTTGTCCGTTGCCCGAGGCCAGAATGGCCATGTGTCACACGCAGGCGCCATCAGTTCTATTCAGGTGGGCCAAGTGGGCCGTTTTGAGCAGCGCTCCCGGCTCCGTGTATTGACCGTCTGTGCACATATAGAGAGGCGGCCAAACGCTGTATTGAGCGGCCCCGCGTCGCCTGGGAGCGCACCGTGTGGGTGAGCACGTGCTGCGCTGACCCGGCGACCCGTCTCCGAGCGGCAGTGCACGTCACCGGCGCCTGCCCGGCAACAGAGGCCGGCATGGGGTCGAGGGGCCATAGCAGGGCGAGGGGCCGGCATGGCGGACCCGCGCGGCGCGCACCGACCGGTATAAGGAATGCAACCCGACCCAACCCGACCCCAACCCGATTGATAACTCGATCCTGGTCCCGACCCGATCCAACCCCGCCCACACACGACCCGATTTGATCCGGCCTGAACCGACATGACGGCCCAAAGCACAAGTGGCGCTTCTCGATGTGAACGGATCATCATCCGTTCATTGTTCATAGTCGAAGATCGCAGCCGCGACGAGAGGTAATATGAATTTAAAAACGCTTTCCGCTCATTTCCTTCCATCAGTGAAGAAGCTTTCCATTTCATTCACCAAGTTTTCTATTCGAAGCCTGTCATCGCAGTGAACGGCTGTTCATGGCCAGGGAGGGACGTTTTTTTATACGCCGGCTGTGTCGGTTTCTGAGAAAGGACGACTGGTATTCGGCTACAGTGGGTCAGGTCAAGGTAGCCCAAACCATAAGACTGGGTGCCTGGGTACAGAGGCCAGAGAACACCAATTGACTGCCAATGGGTTCGGTGTGGCTCAGAACGAGACACTTAGCAGGACGTCATGTTAGGGCAGGTCAGGTCAACGGTAGCGGCACGCTAGGCGAGGTCACAGGCAGGTCTTTCCAGGTCAAGAAAGGCGGGTCTTTCTAGGTCATTGTGGTGGGTTTTATCAGGTCAATGCTGCTCCGGATCTGCCCAGCGGGTTTCTTCAGGTCAGCAAGGCGGCAGTCCAGTCCAGCGGTTCAGTCTAGGTCATTAGGTACAGTGGGTTGGACCAGGTCAGCGCTGCTCCAGGTCCGTCAAATGGGTCTCCTGAGCCTGTCTTACTGTCTAGGTCATTACGGCGTGTTGCCTGTTGGACCAGGTCAGTGCGGCTCTAGGTCAGTCCCGCTGGTCTGCCCGGGTCTGTGCAGGTCAGTCCGGCGTTTTTTTCAGGTCAGTGAGATTACAGGTCAGTCCAGCACTAGGTTTTCTCCAGATCAGTCCGGCGGGTTTTCTCCAGGTCACGTGACAGCGCCGTGGTGACAGCGCCGCGCGGTTCGGCTGAGTCGGCGCGCGCGCCGGCCGTTCTGTTTACCTCTGCAGCGGGGCCGACCGGCCACAGCCCCCCACACGACACACACAGGCCCGGCGGCGGCCGGCGGACGGGCCCGGCGCGTCACGCACCCGTCGAGTGACCGCGCCGCGCGCCGGCCAGACCGCCGAGCGGACTTACAGACCCAGTAAACTGACATTTAGATGGTAGATTAACTGGGCGAACAAATAGACCCAGGAAACTGATATTTAGACGGTGAATTAATTGGGCGGACATACAGACCAAGACCACTGAGCTGAAAAAAAGACCACCGTACAGACATCAAGACCACCGGACAGGCATACGGACACGCTGGGTAACTACAGACCACTGGACGGTCACACAGACCCACGGAACAGAACAGACCAGACCACTGGACGAACATACAGACTACCAGACACGGCTGCGCAGCTATGGTCGCATCCACTGAGCACTGACCCATCAGTCTCACTAATCCAGCGCCGGGGGTGTTACGATGCCCTGACCCACGAGTCAAACTGACCCACTGACCCCTGGACGCACCCTACCGTGGACACTCGGGTCTTACTGTGAGTCTGTGCCTGTGGACACTCAGGTCACCCGGATACCCACATTGACAGGTCGTACAGCCCCTATCTGAGGTCAAACAGTGGTCGTGGCTCCTATCTGAGGTCAACCAGTGGTATACACAGCACACCGGGAAATCCGTGTGAAGAAGCATGTCCGCGAACGTCATAGCGATAACGTATCGGCGGATGGGTAACAATAAATAGATGTTTTTTTAGAATGAGTTTCTTTGCGTTCTTTAAGTATGCACTATGCATCTAATCCGCGTAAGCTAATAAGCTAATCTAATCAACTTATCGTGCTTGGAATGCAATTCAATTCGGTCAGCAATGCTGCGCTGGTTGGCTTTCGTTCACACAGAGGGGTACCTAGGTAAAACAAGGAGTTGACGGCCGATTGCCTGTTGCATCACCGGCGTTATATCATATCACCCGACCGCCTGTGACTCGATAACGGCCCACTCAGTGGCTGAGGGGCACGGCCACTCAAGGACCGGCAGATCCTATCCGCTGCACAAACTCACTATCATCCGCATATCTGCTAGTTCCCTACGGCCCGTGCTCTTCTTATCCACCGGGGCACTGTGTTATGCCCTACCTACCGCGGCCCTCCGTTCTCCCTTATGCACCGCAGCCCTGCGTTCTATCCTATGTCCTGTGTTAGGTCCAACACTGCGGTGTCCTGTCCACCACCCATGCCTTCTGTCCAATGTCCTCCGTTCTGATCGATCCACCGACTCCCGGCTTCCTTCCCCATCGCCGAGTCTCTGCCTTCCGTCCTCTGTCCCGACCTATCCGCCGTCTCCCTGCGTTCCGCCCTGTCCTTGAGTTCCCGGCGACTCGTCGCAGACGCTCTCCGTATTTGGAAGACGCCGGCCGACGCCTGTGCGTGCCGCCTGTGTAAATATTTACACGGCCAGCTGCATCGTTATTCGCTATATGCCCTTGCGACCGACCTCGTGGTCGAGGATGTGCCGAACCCCGCGTTCGAGTGTGCGCACGCCGAAGTGCGCCAGCGGACCGGCGCGGTGGAAGGGACGCCCTCAGTCTATTGGTAGGATAAGGAATGCCCTCAGTCCTCCATGATTGTACTCAGCTTTCAGTCCAGTGTGCCCTCGTCCGAAGATAGAGATCTCTCAGTCCGGTGGAAGGGGCGCTCTCAGTCCCCAGTCCGGCGGAAAGAGACGCACCCAGTCCGGTGATGTATGCGGTTTATATAGCCTTGATATATGCGACCTAAGTTCAGAGGAAGAGACGCCGGTCCGGGATGGGGACGGTCTCAGTCGGTGGTTCGGACGCCCTCAGCGTTGTGTAAATCGCAGTGCAACATCCTGGCTGCAGTGACAGCTGGGAAACGAATGATGAACAGCGGCCGACGAACCATTCCGTGTCGGTGTGTGTGGGGAAGGGGAGGGGGTAATCTAATCAGGAAGGCACACAGGTGCCCAGAGTCCAAACAGCGGTCACAGGAAGTGTAGGTTGGGGCGGGCCACCGATCGACAAGGGAAGACACGCTGCCCGACAAACAATGGAGTCAGGGCACCTTTGGAGGCCGTGCCGTT